CAGCTGAGCTTTTTTTTTTTTTCTTTCTTTCTTTTTTGTCAGGGGCACTATATGCATCAAGATGCTTTAAGCAATTTTCCAAATTTCAATGAATGATGATCATTTTACAAATTAAATTTTGCAGATGCATAAGAAAGAGATGAAAGGAGCTTTTTTTATTGCCATTACTGATTGACTTAACAGTGAGATTGTTAAATATTTCTCATGCACTGTTAGGCTGCACAATTAAGCTTGAAATCAAGAGAACTTTCTCTGACAACCCTCAGTAATAATTTTGGGGAATAATAGCTTCTGTTTACTCCCAGTTTTTAGGATGTGTTTGTATATACATGTCCAGATTAATCACATAGTGATATACTTCAGTTAACCAAAAAACTATGCAGGCAGGAGTACTAAAGCTTTATGATGTTGTATGCACTTTTATAATATTTAAATATAATTTGAAAATGTAAGGAACTGTCTAATGCAACAGAACTTAGGACTAAATAAATTTGAAGGACTTCTTACAGCTCCATTTGATTGTTCACATTCATTCTTGCCACACAGATCAAATAAAAGACCCTAAAACACACTCCCTGTCTCCACTACCAACTTCAACACAGTGCTGTCCATCACTATGCTGTACAGGGAGAAAAAGCCACTGTTGTTTACATCTTTGTGGTGCTAAAGAGTAGTTTACTTTCACTTTTTGATTTATGCTTCTTTGTTTATTAGTGTGAATGAAATTTGACTGCACTGTAATCAAAAGCATCTATCTTTTTTTCCTGATTGGGAGGCAGTGCAAAGCAGGAACAAGGTCAAGTATAAAATACCGGCTGACAACCTTGCAGTCACTTTGTCTCCAATGTCTTAGTCAAATCAAGTAAATTATCCTTTAATATATCTTTGAACAGAGCCTATAACCTCTATGAATTCAGCCCTCATTCTGTGTTTGGCTATTTGGTCATAATAAATTTGTTTTCTGACCCATTGAGTCAATAAACTTGATTTCAAAATTAATCTTTTCAGGCTTCAAACTCACTGGATCCAATTATGAGGCCAATCATTCCCTTTAAATTTAATATTCTGAAACTTGGTGGTCTAGTGCTTTTTGCTGTTATGTGACTCTTTGGTACTTAACTTTATATTAGATAGCCTATAAAATTAAATCTCCAAGGAAGGGAGCATCAGAACAGCTCCAAATCTTAAATCTTCAGTTACAAATATTAGTACCAAGTGCTCCTTTTTCCCGCAAAGCTTCCTTTTAATTGGTATTATACACAACACATTAGCATTATACAGTAGTTTGTTATGTGTATTTGACTATGCAAAATAGACCAAGCAGGAGCAGGAATGCAGATTTGGGTTATTTTTGTTTGGGGGTGGTAGTGGTGGTATTTTTAGGTTTCTTTCTAAATCTGATCTAGTCTAAATACTTTGTATTTCACTTAATGGAGTAAAACCCTTAATTTTTTCTTCATTTACTTCTGGTAATTTAGACAAACTTACTCTATTAAGAGACCCAGTATAATTTCAGAACATTTTAATTTCTATTCTTGTAAAGCATGGCTGCTGATATAGACAATTTTAAATGGTCATGACTTCAAGATACCTGGAGTAAAATTTGCATTTCTTACAAGAAAAGCAATTTAAAGTTGCAGAAGTCCCTTTCCTTACAAACTCCCCGTCCCAGCCACAAAGCTTCCTGACAGCCCTGGCTATGTAGAGATGCAGGGTACAAGGCACAGCTTCTGGAGCACAAATAAACTCAGCTCCACCAGGACAAAAGGCAGGAAGGACTGATGAGCACCTCTGTCTAAACTACTTGGGTCCAGAAGCTCCCAAGGCCAGCAAGTTGCCAGCTTATTCCAGTGTTGCTACTCTTGCTAAACCTACTGCAAGAGAGGGCTGGGAAGGAGTTGGAAGTTGGGAGCAGTCACAGCCCAGATGACCTGTGGTTTTCTGGAGCACTTTCATGGCACTTCAGTGTGGTCCCCTGTCAAGCCATCTCCCAGCTGGGAACCTGTGGGGCATGCAGCACTGCTGTGCATTTGCCCTGTGTACGGGAGATGATTTTTTTCATCAGGATGATGACAAAAGGCCTAATTCTGAACACAGCAATTGCCATTCAGGGATGGATAATTTGCAATATTACTTAGTGCTGTTTTGAGACATTAGTGATGACTTACTCTTTACTGTTTAAATAGTCCTATCATTTTAAGCAAGTGCTTATTACAGCACTTCTCATCTAGGGGAGGGAGGGAAGATTGCTTAACGTGATCCATTAGGAAATTCAAGCCCTAAATAAAGTGACCACAAAGTCCTATCAGCTCCCAGAAACACAGCAGCTGTACATATTTAATGTAATACAACACTATATTGTGGTGGAGATCCACTGCTTAAAACATACATAAGGCAGGTGAAATGTGACTATTTTGCTCCTCTGTTTGAAAAATGAGAAAGTGTAGAGTGGCATACCTTCTTAAATACATAAATAAGCATTAGATTCATGGAGAAGACAGGTACTCTGTTGGACTAGAAGTTACAGATTAAAGGTCAGCAGTTAAATCTGAAACTATTGCAGCCTGGATCCTTTGATCCTGTTCTTGTTCCACTCTATTACTAACAGGTGAGATGTAAACCAAGATGCATGAGGGTCTGATAAATTCTACTGTACTTTTCTTAATTTAATGGCAGCAGTTCCTAAATATTCTGTCCCCTGATCATCTAATGCCATAAACACACATGCAAGAACCAGCTACAGATTTCCCCTACTTGCTCAGATCCTGTGCAATTCCAGGTTTCCACTGGTCCAGAGGGGAAAAAGATTTTACTCACTGGCTTAGCTTTGAAGCAGAGTCAATGTAGCAATAAACAGGCTATCAAAAACGTTATCTTGCCATGTTTTGCCAAGTCCTCCCACATGACATTTTGTCAGTTTGCAACCCTTTTAGTGAATAATGGGACATTTCACTGGTATATGATGGTATATGAAAAGATTAGGAACATCTATTGTATTGATATATATATATGTGTGTGTATATATTTATATATATATTTAAAAAATAAATTATAAATACATAGAGTTTTCTGGACAGAAATATTCAGCATCACTTAGCTTTCCAAAGAAGTTAACAGAGGTGTAGGAAAGGGAACCAAGGAGAATGAGATGCTCTAATTCATCCCTCCTCGTAATACGAGGACAAGGAGGCCTCCAATAAAGCACAAGCATAATAAACAGCAAATCAGCTAAAGGGAAACTTTTTATATGCTGTCTAACTGATTGAATTCATGGTCATAAACTATTACTGAACTATTAATGGGTTACTAGAAGTTTGAAGAACACCTATGCATTATGTTAACATGCATTTATTTTCACTCAGCAGGGATCTAAACCTCCTGATTCAGGATCTAAGATGTAGGTGAAAAAGAATCCCCTAAGAACTACTGTTCTTTCACCTGCATCTCCAAGGTTTCCCAAATTATCTGGTACTCATCAATTCTGAACACACAGGACCACCTAAGCGGGATCACTGACAATGCCTCCATTACTATGAACTATCTGAACTACCTTACCCATGTAAATTTGTGACTGGAAGTCACAGGAGCACTCAGCTGACGGGGATCTGTGTCCTGTCAGCCCAGAGTGTCTGGACTGTGTCTTACACATTGTAATGCACACTGAGCTGCATGTGTGTATACGTGTGTGCGCGCACACGCATGCATCCACGTCAGTTTATTTTGGAATGGGGAGCATCTAAGGAGCATGTATTTCCCTCCTCTACAATTTTTTTTAGACAAAAAGAACGTAAACAACACTCTTCACAGAAGACTCATGTGACTTTTACTTGCCTGTCTGCTCCAGTAGACACTATGAGCTTGATTCTCCAAGACTGCCACTAAAATTCCACTCTACTGATTTTTGCAACCTAATTCTTCAGGCATTTTTTTTTTTTTTGGCAGGATGAGCTGACCCAAATTTATAAAGGAGGTTAATTTGCTATAACATTGCATCTTGAATATAGAATCCATATGTATTTATTTGTTATTATCACAGATGTAAAAGACCAGATTTAGAGACCTGAATTCAGTTTGAACTTGACAGGCTTGGAATGTTCTGTAGCATGAGGGCAAATGGTATCATTTAGGATGTAGAGGGTTTTATGAATGATAAAAATTTCTAAGACAATAAAGCTACCTAAAGTCTCACACTATTTAGCACCAAAAGGACATAGCTACTTTCTAAACAAACAAAAATGTTGGAGTGTTTCTTCTTTATTTTTCTTTAAGTGACATATTGCACATTCTGCTATACAAAAACAGCTGCTGAAGCAACCTAGAGGGCATTTTCAGGCACTGTACTTCAGTGATTACAGCAATTTTTGTAGACATTCAATATTAGGATTGCATTCTAATTTTAGACAGAGTTAAATTTAAATTGAGTAGGAGGGACTTTGATGTTACTTTAGATGTTCTAACATTGCCTACCCCAACCCAAAAGCTGTATAGTGTCTGAATTTTGCAGCATTGATAATTTATTAGTAATGATACACTTTAAAATTATGAAACTAGAGCTCACTAGCAGCATTGAAAAAATGTCCACTATTGTGATGGGACTGAGACTTAGGCCCTGAAAGCATTTACCCACTGGTCATGATCCCAATGCCCTGGGACCTGTCACACAAAACCCCCCTCTACTCTATTTCCATGATACCTCCTCTTAGTTGTGTATATGTAGCAAGCATCCTGAGACTCTAAGGCCAAACTGGGAGTCATCTTAATGCTTATCAGTCTTTAAATTCCCTGACTCTCACAAAACCCAAGCATGAAGCTGAAGGAAACTGAAAGAAAGAAGGTTAGTAAAGGGCTGAGAGTCCAAAAGACAATACAGATGGAAAGTGGAGGGATTAGGTGAAACAGAGGAAACAAACAAAAAAAGCTTCTATTAGATGCTAAATAAGACCCAAGCTGGGTCATAAAGCTATGTCTATGTAGGTTGCATCTTTCCTTATTTCTCTTACCTTGTTTCTCTTGAAATATGCTCTTCGGCAAGCTGCAAAGCACTTCTCGCTGCAGAAGCATTTCACTTCACTTCCCATACTCAGGGAATAGCGCTTGATTCCAACTTTCTGGCACCAGGCACACATTATTTGTACATTTGACACATCATCTTCTACAACAAAAATATAAGAACAATGTTTACATGAGATGCAAACTCCTTCCTCAGACATCTGCACACTTACTCTTAGATACAAATAGCACTGGTTCATCTTATTTCTAACTTCCTCTTTGTCAGAGAGCAGAACTGTGCATGCCTGTGATCACCAGCTTCATCCTCAGGCAGCAGGAGACCTATACCAGCCAGCCTTGGCAGACTGGCAAAGCTTCTAAAATGGCTGGAAAAGATGATTAGCTTCAAAAATGGTGCATTGCTGAAAATCTCTGAAAATCTCAAGAAATTTTTACCATTAAATGAGTAACCAAGACTGGAGGCTGAGTATTGCTGCTTTGTTCTTGTTACTTACAGTCTGCAGTAGTGAGCCCCTGAGATATTCTGCTCAGCAAGCTGGTGATAAACACAGCCAGAAGAGACAGCACCAAGGCAGGTCTCCTGACACAAGCTCTCTTCTAAATAGGAGGAAGGAACATGGAATGCCCCTTTTCTGCAGTTTTGAAATAATGACTACCATACAAAACATGGAGCTTTTGTGTGAATTCAGCAGTCACAGAAACACAGACCTGAGCAAGACAGAAGATGCAGCACTGTGGCAAAATATGCCACGTTATTTTCCAGTCATTATGCTCATCGGTCAAATTTTAATTCAGGCAGAGTTCCCAAGCTTCTTTCAAGCTCTTCTCTAATGTGTGTTACGAATGTGGCATGTAATGCCTTCTGCCATGTAAAAAGACCTCAGGACTTATTTGCTAAAGTGCAGCAATATCCTTGTGGTCATCATTCCCCCCTCAGCTTCACGGACAAGGGCAGTGAAACAGTTAAGCCTACTGAATAGATCAAGGTAATAAGTTAGCAGAAATCTTTCTGACTTAAAATTTAGAATTCTTCAGTTCGTATGTCCAGTTTATGATACAGAGTGACCTTTCAGTTACAGACAGCAGCCATTGTCTAACTTCTGGAAAAAAAATCCCTGAAGACTAACTATTAAAGCAGTTCCTGGTCCATGAGCTGTGGAGAATTCATAGCTCAGAGATTCTGTCATGCAGCCATCCTATTTCCCTATAAAGGATTTGTTTTTGAAGCTACGCTGTCATCGTTCTGTAAAATTATTGGCAAACTAATTTTTAGCAGAGTGATTTGGCTCCTTTCCCTGACTATCATAACTCAGAACTACGTGCTGCATTTTACTCACCTTATTGGAATAAATATTGCCAGTTTAATAACTTTTTTCCTTTGACAAATTGTGTTATGATTTACAGCTACAAATAAAATTCTACAATGTAAAATAATGACCTCTTAGGTTTAATCAGACTGCCTACCTTTAAACCAATATTTAAGGCTAAGTTATAACACAGATTTGTGTTTAATGTATTTTATAACTTGCCCTTTATTGTGGGATTTGCCAATACTATAAATACCTTCATATACTGCACATCAAGGGAAATCAAAACACTATGGCCAAAACTATCACTAGTCATCTACAGGGTCAAAAAGCCTGCCCCTGAACTGGCTGTAATATCAGCCATGCACACAGGGTGCTGCTATGGTGGTGTTGCACAGGGTCATTGCAGCTTTCTCTCCAGACAAGTCTTGTCCAGGATGCTAACTACTCCAGCACAGACCAAGAGCTCTTCCTCCCATTTTTATCCTGAGCCATTTTAAAATACTAAGCTCTTACAAAAGGACCCTGATTCAGCTACTTTTACACCATAATAAACCAATTCCTTACAGACTGAACCTGCCTTTTTCAATGTATCAGGGCAACAGAAGATCCTTTGAATCAAAGGAACCAGACGGTAGACTCTTGTTTCAGATAACAGCAACATTTATTCATCTACTGATAAGAAGTATTTTATCTCTGGAAAAGAGATCTACCAGTGATATCTTTCTAATAGCCTTCATTTCTGGTGAGAGTAACTCTCTTGGATGAAAAAAGAATATTACAGAGCTGAAAGAGACTTCACTGGCAAAGTAGGTTCTGGAACAGCTCTTTTTGAAGCAAGTTGTCTCATCTGGGGCACAGTTTTTAAGGGGATACAGAGCTCCACCACTGGAAATCTCAGGGGCTTTCAGGAGTGGCTTGATAGGGAGAACACCTCAGCTATCATTCAGCTCCTGTTCGCTGATACTCATGAACTGCCTCCCATGAATGATCAGAAAGATCCACACAGTTGTCCATTTTCAATTACACATGCTCCCGCCAGCAACTGTTTACACGGAAAAGCCACACTGTGCATTTTTCTGCAGGAGGTTATGCAGGTCAGTAAGATTCAGTCCACCTCCGCCTACCAAAGACTTTCTCTGAGATATATCCTGGCAAGGAGAGGAGAGGAGGAAAGAGGGAGAGGGACCTACTATGTCAAGTTGCTGTCTTGCCATGCTCTGACCAGCAAAACTTTACCACCACCCCATGGGGACTCCTTTGAAGAGCATTGCTTCACTTGTGGTCCATGGATCTGACAGTCAATAAAACAGCAGAGAATGGTCTACAAACTACTACATCCAGTCACTGTCTGCACTTCCAGGAAGTGACAGGTGATATCCAGGAGTCATCATCAATATTGATCAAAGTGTTCATCATTTTGAAAGAAGGGAGAAAGGGAGAAAAGTAGTCTAGCTAAATACAAAGAACTTCAATTATTTCTCTATTCTACTGCCTTCTTGCCCCAAACATCAAACAATGGTTACGTACAATATAATCCATTCCATAGTAACAATAATAATAAAACTAGAGGCCTCTTCAATTTAACAGACTCAGGAACACAGCTACAAAAGGATTAACTGAGTATGGCCATGTGAAGCAGCCAGGAAACACCAGTACTTCAGAAGAGGGTTTAGAGCATGCACTTCCTGTGACAGTACACTAATGCATCACTATTTAAGTAATCTCCCTCAGGTGCAGGTTTGCCCAAGTCAATTTTCCATGCAATTCTAACTTTTCGTAACAGAGTTCATCAAGTGAAATAGAAAATATCGAGTATAACACGATTATGGACCATCAGGAGGAGCCCTGTCCAGCCCAGCACGAGGAAAACTTGGTCTAAAATCAAATTCTTTCTTTCATTTTTGAGTGAAGTTAAGAACAGCAGAGAAAAGGGTCTACGCTTTGTGCTGAGGAGAAGTACAGAGCTATGGCCTATGGGTGTGGATGACAGCTGGAGACAATGGTAAAGGTCCAAAGCTGTGTGCTTGCTTTCTTTGCACCAATTGTGGTAGAGATCTGAGCAGGTCTTGTGAAAATAACTAATAGGGATGCTTTGTTACAGTGTATTAAGCTTAGTGACCAAAAAAAAGATGACTGAAACGTCAATAGAAAAGAAATACTTCTTGTGTTTCTACCAGCAGTAGGAAACAAAAACTAAGACTTAAACCAGTAAGACTGTGTGAAACACGTAAAGTCAGAGTCTTGGGATTTAACTGCTGTCATTTGCTAAACACAAATTGAAATAATATGAAACCAAAAATTCAAATCTTGCATTCCATTCAAGACAAAATTCCTCTCACTTTTTCACAGACCTTCGTTTTTCAAGGCCATATTCTTTGAAAATCAGTTTAACAGATTCCCGCCCTTCTTTCAGGAAAATGTATCAAATTCCTGTCCCTAGAACACTCAGCAAGAAGAACCTGAAGCAACAAGATCAGAGAGAAGTGGAAATTTCAAATCCAGCAATTTGAGACTGCTTATCTGTGTTCAGTCTTTATTTTAATATTTTTCTGATTAGAACTTCACTAAGAAAGCTTCTCCATGATAATTACATGAGTATACTACATCGGCAATGTTCTCTTTTGCTCATAATCAAACTTTTGCTGGTACTCTGGCTTAGTATATCTACTTAAAGTAACACGAGCTCATCCTGACACCATGCCTATGTCCATCACATGAGTTCTCACTGGAGCAGCTCTTCTGATGAAGATCATTCACCATCACTTTTAGGACTCATATAGCTATGCTGACACATGTTCGTAAAGTACAAAAATGTAATTTGCAAGACCTGGCACTGATCATTCTGAAGTGAAAGAAAATACTTTTTAATAACTGCATTTTTTTTCCTCCATCTGGGCCTTCAACTTTATGACCTGCTTTTGCAAAGTGTTTCACATATTCTCAGATCTGTCACACTTATGACAGGTAGCATGGGCATTCATACAGGTGAGACAAAGAGGAGATGGCACAGACACAACTGAACAGTAACAGGAGAATATTCAGCAGAACATACATATTCCTTCCACATGCTGTACAAGGTCTAAATTTCCAGCCCCTACTTTTGTGAGATCTCAACTCTTCATAGGGAGAGCTATTGTGGGAGTTACAATATCGTGTTTTTCTGCCCCTGGGTCGTGTCATTACAGGTGGAAGAATTACTCCCTGCACCCACCACACAGACACTGTTCAGTTACATCTCCTTGTGGTTTTTAGCCTGTGTATTTTTCATAATGAACAATGCAATAAACACAGAGTGTTTGCAGTGTTAAATCATGTTCCCAAAGGGAGTAGTTTGTATAACAAGATAAAATTATCACATTATAATAACTAAATATGCATCAGTCTAAAGCATGCTTCAATTAATCATCAAAAGTTTGCACCGCCTCTTTAGGTCTTAATTAAGCGGAATGTTTGGTATTTTTTTCCTTTCAAGCCAGTGTGAAGGAGCTGCAGAAAATTATTCCTCTTAAATCCAGAGAGCAGCAGTTTACACTAATCGATCTTATATGGAACCATAATTTGGAGAGGTGGGGAGAAGTGAAGGTAGGCAATGAATACAATAGAGTAAATCCATCATGTACAGTCCTGTGTCTTTATCTAAGCAAACAAGCATGACCTACAGTGTTTAATACAATGTTCCTAAAATCCCTACAATTCTGGAATTAGATCCTGATCAGCTTACTGGTTTACTAAGTTTTAGGTTGCAATACTCTAGTAAAAACCGTTTTGAACTATCTGATACATACATTCAGTTTTAACTCCAGTTTCAAAAAGGTGGGTGAAACTAAATGCA